CACCCTATCACATTATACAGAAAGGCAAACTCCTCAACACACCTACAAACACAAGTGACCAAGTACCTCCATTACATATTACTCTGAAGGCAGAGCCACAGAGTGTCACTGGAACAGAATCCAAGAAGCAAGAAAAAGACGACATACGAACAACAAAAAATCCCCCAAAAATCATCAGATGGAGAGAAAGACAAAAACTGCAATAAAATATTCATTGTTACAGCAATCTTACTACATCCTAAGACATACTTGGGGCCCAGCAAAGCAGCTACCTCCTCTCCTCTTCCACTTTATCTCCTCACAGAGGCCTGAGCAAACCCCACTCAAGAGGCAGGTCCCATACCAGCTGCTGCTACTGCTCCAGCAGGCATTGGTAAAGCCACCAAGACAAGAACCACTGCAGGCATGGGCAGGCTTGCATTAGCCCTACCAGGATGATCAGCAGAAACAAGCAGGAGTAGGAGAGGTGTACTGAACAGCTGGAGTTACTGGTGGTATATCAAAATTAACTTCATCCAAACACTTCGGATAGCAGAGATTCTCTTGATAGTTGTATTTTCTTCTGTTTCTCAGTCTGGGCATTTTTGATTTTGCCAGCCATTTTCAACAAAGCCAAGCGGATCTTGACTAGCATTATGTCACAGGCTATATAAGATCTATTCAGAATAGGTCAGGCATTACAAAGCACTATTTTCAAATTACAATAATCTAATCTTACAGATGTGATGCTTAATAGACGCACAGCAAGACAAGGCAAACATGTCCTCTTAACAAGCTCCATCCATCAAAGGTGATTAACAACACTACCCTGGATGTATCAGAAGAATGGTTTGTAATCTATACTAAGCACCAACTGCAAAAACTCCACTTTTCACAGTCATTACTATTTTACTGTTACCTTAAATGCCATTTGCTTGACATGCCTTTTAATAGGAATCATTAATAGACATTTATAGTTACGTCTAGCATTCCGGAATCAAAAGTTATGGAACAAAGTCAAGAATACACAGCACCCTCCAAAAGTCAAATGATGCTTCATAACAGACCTGATCCAACTGTAATAAATAAATAAAATGAATGCTTTCAGTAAGTCAGTCACTCCAAATATAGCTCACAGCATGAGAGTTCTGTGGAACAATGTAAATAAGCATAAGCAGCAGTATTTCAATTGAAACAACATAGTTTAACAGCTAGTTGAGTTCCACTTCTAATTTCAGTTCTGAAGCCAGAATGTGTCTGTTCGGTAAGCTTTACAGATCCTGAATCTGAGACCTTCAAAACTTGGGTCTTCACTCCTACTTCCACAAATATTTGAATAGCAGTATATGCATCTATAGAAGTCACAGTTATTTAGTAAATTTAAACCAATGAAAAAAGCGTAGTTTCAGAAAGCTTTGAGGGTGCTTGATCTTCTCCAAGATGGATTTTACTGCCTTTAAAATTATTGCGTCAATATATCCAAAAAGGCTTATTTTCCCATTTAAATTGCAATTTTATTCTTCATTTTCTGCTTTACAGCAGTGCTTGGTAATGAGTCTGACAAGTACATTTATTTGCCCTCATATTCACCCTCAATTATTAGGTCAGGGTTGTAATTTTTATTTATCTATTACCTGTTTGTATTTTTGAATTATAACACACTAAGTAGGCTTAGCAAAGTAGAACAATTTCTGCATCTACTACTTAAGAGATAAATAAATGAATTTCAGTCACTTTAGAATTTACATAGTTAAAGCGTATTGAATACTCATGTTGTTCTTGAATATTTGGGAAACTCTACTTAATCATTGCCTACCAAGTTCCTCCAATAGCGTAAGCAACAGAAGGAGAAATGGTGTGCAATCTGACCTCATTTTGTGGCAGCCCCAAATGGCCCTCTAAGCAAGAGGCTTTCTAGTTCTCAGTTCTAAGCTGAGTTTTTCAACATGAAGATCAAATCATATTTAATAATTTTATTTTCAAATATACAGTAATTTCTTTTAGACTTGTTATTTCCCATGCATCCTTTTAGGTGGCCAACAACAATCACTTCGGCCATCTGTGAAGACATGCAAAAAAGGCTGCTTTATTTCTCTCGCAAATTTTGTTACAAAGCCCCCAAGAACAAATGCATCCATCAAGAAAAAGGTCTTTTTGGAAACATATGCAGTGAGATTTTTTTTTTTAATGTAAGAAGATAAAAGGAATGATTAACAGAAAAGGCATATCATGTTGAATTACAATGATTAGATCAGAAAGGTTGTGTTCATATTCACGAGCAAAAATATAATCAAAACAAAAATACTGATGTAGACTTTACTGGAAAATGCTATATAAAACATACCTTCCTGATTCCCCTTCTCAGGCTACAAAAAGATCTGGAACTTATATAAAAGAATTCTTCTACTTTCTCACTCTTTTTATTAACTGTCACTTGTTATTTTTTTGGCACAAGCTCCAAAAAGTTCTAGTCACAGGACTATTCTAGACCACAATTCCATTTGTAATATATTTTCTGTTAAAATAAAAACACAGAAGCAAAGTTGATGTACAGAAGATGAAAGCCTTAAACAAACTGTTCTTGAATATCAGTGAAAGTATTCACACTGCAGAAATGCATCAATTCAGTAATTCTTGTCTTACTATTTAAAGTGCTTACCTAAATACTAAATAAATACCACAGAAATCAATTGGTCTTACAGCACTTTTGTTAGCCCTGCAACATATTTAACACATAAAGGAGCTCCATGGGATCACTGGATCAAGAGGATTCAGTGCTAGCAGGCATCAGCTGCCAGCACCTGGACATTGCAATAGCTGTTATTAGAAATAGTTTAGACAGTTTATACATGCAGCATCCATTGGCCTTCTGGGTCAAGTATTAGTAATTAGATCACGCACCTGAATCACTCTGAAAGACACCTTAAAATAGACTGGGGATCCAAGCTCCTTTTCATCACTATAAATGCCGAGCAGTTTCATTGACTTTAGACATAATAGGAGTCAACATGCTGGAATTACTCCCAGGCTTCTCTAACACAGCCCAAGAGAGACAAGAATGGCATAGACCAACCAACAAAGAACTGACCAAGGATGAATATTCTTTGGAAAGGAAGATTGGTAACTAAAAAAGCATGAATACTCTTTGGAAAGGGAGATATTGGGGTATTCAGCGCATGTAGACAAAAGCAGTCAGTCTCTTAGAAATGAAAAAATACTATCCCATCTTGCTTTGTCACTTTATGTTGTGTCCCCTCAATCTCCTGCCATTTGAAGAACAGAAAGTGACAAAGATGAAGTTCCTCCTTGGTTAGGTCTATGCAGCTACTCAGAACACTGTGGGGCACCATTAGGTGATACAATAAAGAGGAAAACCTGGCCCATTACTTCTTGCATGCGCTGAAGCTGAGCACACATCCAAGCAAATGAGTACGAAGACCTTCCCCTCATCTGATCTAATTCTGTCAAAGATTCACACATGGAGGAAGTGGGTGTAGAGGTGAAACATGCAGTATATCTTCCAAACTCTCTCCAAAAATTTTTAAAGGCAGTAACTTGCTATTAAGAGCATCCAAGACCCTGATGGGAGAAAGGGAAGCTAGCTGAATGCTTGAAAATTCAAGCAAGATATTACAAGGCTGCCCAGAATTGTCCACAGAAAGGTAGGACTGTTACTCTAGACAGAGTGGGATTTCAGAATACAAATACTCGATGCTGCAGGTGTATCCTATTTGAAAGGATAAGCAAATCTAAATCTCCTCTTTTTTTTTTTTCTTTTTTAAAAAGGAGTCAAATTGCAGAGGCAAAATTCAACTTACTGGATTGTTACTAACTGCATAGGTGCTGTATATAAAGGCACTCACCTCGAAGTGTCTGCCCACAAAAGCAACAAAGAATAGAAAGGAGAAAGAGCTCAAACCAACTCTATATTTTAATTTGGCTACTCTAAAAAACAAATAGCAACTCACTGCATACCCAGCCACTGGCAGTTGGCTAGATCACATCGCATCAAGTGATTAACACTAGAACATGTTGCCCAGAGTGTTTGTGGAGTCTCCAGCCTTGGAGAAATTCAAAACTGCCCTTAGGACCTACTATGGGTGACCCTCCATTGAGCAGAGCGGTTGGACCAGGCGAGCTCCAGAGGTGCCTACTCATCCCAACTGTTTTGGGATTATGTGATCAGCTTAGCATGGATTTATGAGAAATTATTTAAGGACTGTCTTGGACTGCCCTCCAAGAACTGAATCGGGGAGGATGCTCTATATACAAGTTCAGGGTTGGTTTAATAAATAAATAAATAATGTACAAATACATTTTCTGATTCAGCTTCACTGGTCTATAGAAGAGGAGCCTGGGAGGTACAATGAAGGAAAAGCAACAGTCTCCAGAGACAAACAGATTCAGGAAGGAACCTCACAGGAGCAGAAGAATGAAATTCATAGCCTTGAAATGCAGGATTTGAAAAAATAATGACCTACTTAAATCTAAGATTGGAAGAAATACACAACCACGGCAGGTGTTTGAGTAACATCTTAATTCATCACAGCCACTACTCCAGTCTTTCTAATAGTATCACTAATTTTTCTCACAGTTCCTAGGCAAGGCACTGTGGGATGCGATGAACAGGATTTATATAAAGGAGGCAGTAATTTAAGCCAAGTGACATGTGATCTTCCTCAAGACAGAAGAAAATGGTTCTTGATCAAAGAAACACAAGGCAGATTTGGGAACAAAGTGAGCTACTTTAGTTGTCATTTATTGAATTTTAATGGGCTTCCACCCAGGTTTACAAAACTCAAACTTGCTCAAGGGCCCTGCTGAGACCATACGGTCAAAAACAACTACAAAATAGTATAGTTCATTTTGTCAAATGAACAAGAG